TGCTCTGGTCAGCGTATGCTCTTAGAACACGAACGAGATTATGGTTTGGGCATGAGATTATGGTTTGGGCATGGATGCTCTGGTCAGCGTATGCTCTGGGAACAGGAACGAGATTATGTCCCCAAGGACAGAATGTGCGTTTCGTCAGGGGTCACTCGGGGACGTGTCACCTCAAACAAAGGGCAACATACATGTCACAAGCCAGCTCACCCCCAACTTCACGAGTTTTACCTACCGACTTATTTCACATTTCCTCCTTCCTTCTCAAACCCTGGAGCTGGGCGGGACAGTGTCAGCTAACCCTTCAGGTAAACATCCTGACAAGGTAATAGGGCCCCTACGATGGTTACTCAGGGTCACTCAACATGAAACTAGCGAGGGGTGGACCAACCTATCAGCCCAACACGAGCTGGGCATTGAAGCCCGAGGACTCCGGTCCTCCTCCATAGCCTGAACGAAAGAAAGAAAGGAAAAATCGAGAGAGACTCCTACGTAGCCATTTTAGCTCAAGTCTCTGCACCTGCTGTCTGTGCCACTCCGGTGAGGGCGGCGCCGGCAGCGGCCCCGGAACGTGCTCGAAATTAGGCTCGGGCGCGGGACGGGGTGGACGCCTGCCTGGCGGTGAGGGGCTTGGGCAGCCGCTGCAGCCACTGACAGACAGGGCCGAAAGGGTCTGCGAACGCCAACGCGTGCCTAGATAGTCCAGCTGGCTCGCCCATATAGCCTTGCTGTTGCGGCCTGTGCCTGGAGACCGACAAGGCTGATTGGTGGGCTCTGAACTTTGCGTCTTTGTTGAGAACGCTGCCCCGAAGACCGCCTACCTGTTTGTTCGAGCACGGTGGCCTTGCCTGGCTTTGGGGGGCCCCGTCATGGATGACGGAGCGAGAATGCGGACAGCGGCCTCCATCCAAGTGCCGGAAGCCATAGAAATCGATGCAGACATCTCCAGCCCGACTTCGGCGGGAATTTCGCTCGCCGACTTCATGGCGGCGCTTGCGCCGGTGACAATGGGAACGCAGACGATGCAACAGGGGCTCAAAGACATGCAATCCCGGATGACAAGTCCAGGGCCACACCGCCAAAGCCCTCGAAACCCTGGATATGATCAGAGCCGTTGATGTGCGACAAAAGGCCCAGTCTTCCCACCTGGAGGACATCCAGAAGCACATCGGAGAAAGCCACCGAGGCGACAATCCAGGAGATTCTTCAGCGCGTCGACTTGCAGGCGCCAGAATGTGGAGGCAAAAAGCCTTTGACGGAGAACAGGGAGAGGGGCCAAGGGCCCCAGCAGTGGTCTTAGGGGGATGGGATACCGAGTTGGACGAAGAGGAAGTCATCCAGAAGGCGCACAAGCTATTGAAGGACCTGTCTCTCGACCTTGACCTCCAGGAAGCTTCAAAGACGCACCATCCAATCAGTCGAGATTGTCAGGCAGGCGGCGTACCTCAGCAGGGCCAAAGATAGAAAAGGCCAGCCGGCCAAAAGTCTGGCTTGAGTCTCCGGAACAGCGTCGGCGCACTAGGCAACTATCCAAGAGCAAAGGCTGTGTCCTGGAGATTGCGGGGAAGCAGGGGAAAAGGCTGACGGTACAAAATAGCTGGAGCGGGACAGCCTGCCATCGGGACAGAAGCGGCCCAGTATGCCAGGGCGATAGCGGGAAGCCGCCGGAGCAGCGCCACAAGACGTGGAGAAAACGTGGCAGGAGCTCGTGGCGGCCATAAACTGAGATTGGGAGTGGGCAGCTGAGACGTGCGTGCAGACTGTGGAATTCATGGATGAAAGTGAATTGTACAGAAAAGCTGGTCAATTTCAAGGTAGAGCTTATAACGGACCAAGGAAGCCCAGCAGCACAACCATGAGGCAAGTCCGGTTGCCACAGTTGCCAGTACGAGGCAACCTTAAGCGGCCAACCATTTTGCAACACGCCCTGCCTGCAGTGCAAAAAAACCTGACCCGCGAAGGTGGGGCAGGAGCCGACGCGTGTACACAAAGACGGCGCGCAGCCATTGGAGGTCCGACACTGAAGGTGTCCAACAGAAGTTGCTATGACCCTCTGGATGACGTCCCATGGAGCGTCCGCCACAAGCTGGAGGAAGCCAAGACGGCGCAGCAGACCGGGGAGCGACACCAGACCGGCCAAGAAAAGCGCGAGTTGCAGAGGAAAGCAAGCGGCAGAAACGAGAGGAAAAGACCCAGGGGCGCACCGAGACAGACGGAGAGAATAGGCTATGACATCCGCAGCAGAGACACCAGAGAAAGAAGTAGAAGCCGCAAGACAGAGAGGAAGGGTACAGGTAGAGCAAGCCACTCAGACCACCGAGAGCAGAAAAGAGGGGCTGCCTACAGGTAGAATGGAGGAGGTGGTTGCCCTACTCCCAGCGCTGGGGTTGGACAAGGTGGAGGTGGGCCTAGCAGGGGTAATGGAAACACCACGACGCAGTAACAGCACAAGTGAGAATGAGGTGCGAGCGGACCCGCAGGCAGCGCAGAGAAGATGGGCAGAACCATGGGGCCCGACAACTTAGAGGGGAAGAGACCGTCAGAAGAGATTTGGAGGAAAGCGGAGGATGGAGAGGAGACAGACTCAGGAACCTCGCAAAGCATAATAGAGGCAAGAAGAAATCCTTTAAGTGCCAGGAAAGCATGGAGATCCGACAGATGAGGGCGGTTCACACCTGCAGGGAATGGGGGCTGCCCCCATTTCGTCAAAATTGATGTTGCCAAAGCCTTTGATACAGCGTCGCAAGAAAAGATGGCGAACTTAGTGGAAGAGAAGGTGGGCAAAGCGGGCGGGCGGCCATGGGAGGCACGGCTGTGGATAGATATGTTGGCTAACACATCGATCCGTGTGTCTCTCGACACGAATAGAGCAGCAACGGAGTCCGTCAGGGCGCGCCAGACTCGCCGGTCATTTTCGCCGCCATGGTTGGCCAGATCTTGAACGAAGTGCTAGGCCCAGCACCCACCAACGCCAACCCGACCCCGCCAACACCAACCACGGTGACCGGACGAGAAGCTGCAGATAGCGAAGCGCCAAAGCAGGACCGAGCCCCAGACAAAGGACCAGCAACGCCAACAAGCGGAGGAGGGTCCAGGACGACATATATTTATGGAGCCACAGCCGCAGCTTTCTGCAAGCCAAACTCGACACCATGGTAAAAAGCCTCAGAAGCAGGAACCTGGAAGTGAATGCCACCAAAACCAAGTATGTGCACACAGAAGAAGGAAAACAGATTGTTAAGGTAGGGGATCGGGAGGTGATAGGCGATAGGGAAGGAACAGTCACGGTCGGAGCGCCTGTGTCACTAGCAGGGGAGGTCGCACGGAGGTGGCCAGACGAGCAATGGGAGCATTCGCAGTCCACAAAAAGCTGCTCACGGGAGCGGGCAGTGTAGGCTTGCGTACACAAGATATGTCACATCCAGCGCGCTGTGGGCCATCGGTGCAGCGCACCCCCACGATGCCCTCTTGAAAGGCATAAACAGCATGGAGCTCATGCAACTGCGCCAGGTCCAAGCCATCAAGCGTAAGCCCCTCAATTAGTGGGTGCAGTGGAACCAAAGATCCCTGAGACAGGCGAGGGCCTGCCTGGCGACCAGACCAGCGCACAGATCGTCCACCGTAGCACGAACACAGGTTTGGCGATTGTGGGGACACACAGCCAGACATGAGCTCCACACCGGGCTCATGCTGTCGTGGCGCAATCAGGAGTGGGTGGCGAGCGGAACAGAGCAAGACCGACGCCCTCCGCCACCCCAGTCGCTTCAATGCCATGCTTGAGACTGAGAGGATGCTGGAGAGGATCTGCAAACCATGGCAACAGGCTGCGAGAGGAAGGGATACTTGGAAGAAGCTTGAGTCAGAATTTGTTCGGCGTTTCGACCCGCCATGGAGCAGCGGAAAACAACCCTCATTGGAAAACCTAGCCCCCAAATGGGAAGCAAAACAGGAAGGCGTGCCAGAAAGCGCGCCAGACTACCTCAGAGCTCTCACCAACCCACGAGACACCAGCGCAGCCAACCACCAAGCAGACCACGGGCCCCGACACCGAGACCATACCATCGACCGATCCTGTTACACAATATTACACAACATCTACCCCAAACAGGCAGACAGTGAGAACACATACCATGATCAGAAGCCCTACGCCAGAGGAAGAAAGAACAGACAGACAGAACAGAAGATAGACCGGCAAACCATCCTGGCAGTCATGGCAGTCAGCGTAGCAGTTGGCAAGCAGAGCGTGCAAGGCATGATGTGGAATGAGCATGTCCAGCAGTTGCCCTTGCGTCAGCCTGGCTTACGGTAAGCAGTGAACATGCCAAACAGACAGCAGCAGCACAAAGGAGGAAGCAAGCCTGGGCCTAGACATTCAATGAGGTAATGCACATAGCACAGTTGGAGGAGTAGACCAGCAGGCGGGCAGGAGCCGAGCAAGTGCCGAGGTCCACATAAGTGGTTGAGGCGCAGCGTTGGCAACCATGGCCAGACTGGGCTTGCGTCTCATCCTGATCAGCGCCGCCCTGAGCGTTCCGAGCAATCGAACCACGATGCACCACGAAGCCACGGATGAGCGTGAGGCGATTAGCAAGCTGCTCTGTTCACGGTTGTTCATGCGTTAGTACTCCATGCGCCTCGGCCTGCGCAATGGCCATGGCTTGAGAGTTGAACCAGTGTGGCTTGACCTGGCCACGCGTGTAGGCCTGTAGGCCTGTAGGCCGAGGGGATCTGGCCTATCTGCGGAGCTTTGTGATGCAATGGTGCGGCGCGGGTCCAGGCACTGTGCCCTGGCTTGCCTCGCCTCCGCTGGCCGCCTTCCTCTTCTTTCGGCACTGCTGGTCCGTCTGCTCTTTCTTCATCTCTAGCATCTTCTCTGCCGGCCTGGGATCTTGGAGGATTCTTCGGGATGAGGTGATGTCCACTGATGCTGACGATCTCGCCGGTGTGGGGGGTCAGCCTCCATGACTCTTTGATGCCTGGACGGCGTTCGCTGCGGTCCCCTCTCGTTGTCCTCCTGTTCCGCCCCGGTTGTAGCTGCCTTCGACCTTTGCATGAGCTGGGTCTCTTCCGGCTCCTCGCCCTCAACCTCGATCTCTTCTTCCTCTTCTTCTTGCGGCGCTTCTGCTGCCTCTTCGGTTGCCTCCGGGCCCCTTTCCATGGCCTGCAGGAGTATGTCTGTGAGGATGGCCGATATGTAGCTGAGGGCGTCCTGGAGGGCAGCCAACGATGTGGCCACCTCCCTAGCCAGGCTGGAGGCCTTGATGCTGCTTGCGCACCTTTCTCCTGGCAGAACTGCTAATTATTCAATTGCATTCATCACCTACCAATGAATGATGAGGTTGATGTTTGCAAACTGACACAAATTAATTTTGAACCTTATCCTGCCTGCAAAAGGATTTGCATGTATGTATGTATGTATGTATGTTTGTTTGTTTGTTTGTATGGTATGTATGATTATGTATGTATGTATGTATGTATGAATGTATGTATACAAAGTCATATGTAATGAAAAATCGACCGAATTTCGAGGATGCTCCGCAAGGGAGCGCGATTTTGAACAGACAGTCAACGGAATTTTCAGAATGCCCCGCGCAGGAGCACGATTTTCCTTAAGATTTTCAGGATGCTTCGCACGGGAACGCGATTTTGAGCGAAGAGTCGATAAATTTTGAGGATGCCCCGCACGGGAGCGCGATTTTCATCAACATCGCGATTTTCTTCAAAATTTTCAGGATGCTCCGCACGGGAGCGCGATTTTCTTCAAAATTTTCAGGATGCTCCGCACGGGACCGCGATTTTAATCAAAATTTTCAGGATGCTCCGCACGGGAGCGCGATTTTCTTCGAAATTTTCAAGACGCTCTGCACGGGAGCGCGATTTTGATCAAAAGAGAACGATCTTGAGCGGATCAGTTTGGTATAGAATTGGTATAGAAATCGTTCCCTAAACGATCTAAATTGGAACGACGAATTCGGCGAATCCTATACCAATCCTATACGGAAACATCCCCCCAAGAACATCACCCTTGATAAGATAAATCGACGAAATTTCGAGGACGTCTCGAGTCTCGAGCGGGAGCGTGATTTTGGAAGATAAATCATCAAAATTTTCCGAATGCTCCGCACGGGAGCGCAATTTTGACCGATTTAGATGACGATAAATCGACGAAATTTCGGGGCCGTCTCGAGCGAGAGCGCGATTTTTGAAGATACGAATGTGATCAAAACGTCAAAAAAATGGAGTTGTCTCGCGCGGGAGCGCAATTTTTGAAAACGCAAAATCCGGAATGTTGAGGGGAGCGCGATTTTTGAAAATCGGAGCGCGACCAATTCGATATCGACCCCCCCTACCAAGACTACTTTAAAGGCGATCTCGCCTCTCTGTTGGATCCATCATCCATATATAAACGCTCATTTTTCGAGGACGTCTCGAGCGAGAGCGCGAGTTTAAAAAAAACGATGATGCTCGACGGCTCAAAAAAAAAACGAGTTGTCTCGAGCGGTACCACAATTTAATGATATTTTATAACGTCCGAAAAACACGATTTTTTGCGGAGGTCTCGCGCGAGAGCGCGATTTTAGAAAATCAGGGGGTCGTCCGGTTCGCACCGACCCCCCTTAGCAAGACTACTTTAAAGGCGATGTGTCCTATGTTTTAGGTTTCATAAAAAACCCCGATGTTTTTAGGATGTCTCGAGCGAGAGCGATGTTTGCGCGACGGAAGAGCACGCTGCGGGTGCCGGGCGACACACTTAATAATTAGAACCCCACAGTGAATGTCGGGAACAAATTCCTATCCAGGGTTGGAAACCGCGGAATCGACATTTTCCTATCTATATATTCCTAATCAAATACTGAAAGCAGTTGGATCAAGCCAGAAGCTTATCCCAAACCACAATTCTATGAATTGCCGGGCATCGGATTTGGGAATTAATTTCTAATTGGATTTTACAATCAAATCCGTATCCAAAATAGAAAAGTACATTCAATAATAAAGTCGATGTATTAAATTCGTGAATATTTGTCTAAGGAATTCATATTCTAGACCAGATTCTTACGAAAAACCCAAATCCAAGAATCACGGATTTTCTGCTATCTGTACTCAAATCCGAAAAGTATTCCTTGCAAACCAAAATCCCATTTGAAACTGGAGATCCAGGAGTCCAGGATGTTTGTTTGATTTCTCATTAAATTTTAAAGGAATACATATACAACAAAATGTTCATGGAAAAAGCGGAAATCCAAGGATCACGGATTTTCGTATTTTTCGTCTACTCTTTAAAAAGAGTTCACATAAGGGACATCTGTATCCAGCACATGAAAACCGGAATTCCAGGAATCCAGGATCTTGACATGATTTTTCATGATATCTTCAAAGGAAGTCATAGAGAGCAGAATCCTATGGAACAATCCAAGCAGGTCCAAGACAACATGATTTTCGGACTTGTTATAACAAATTTCAAGCAGAATTCATATAAACCAAATGCCTGTCCAACACTTGAAATTCACCTTACGTATCATCAAGGTCTCTAGCAGTTCATACAGAGCAGACTCCTATGCAAAAAACAAAATCCCAGAATGACGGCTTACGGATTTTCGTGTTTTATTTTACATGCATATGTATGTATAAGGACTCCATGTACGCAAAAATGCTATCCAAAATTAGGAATCCAGTAATCTAGGGTGTTGTTGTATTATTTCTAATGTTATTTCACAGGGAATCCATATAAACCAAATTTTTATCCAACATGGAAATCCAGGAATGCCAGATTTTGCAAAATTTCTAAGGGAATTTTCAGAGGCAATTCATATACACCAACTCCTTGGATCTTGTCATGAAGCTGGCAATCCAGGAAACCAAGTCATTTTTCTGCGGCGAAGCTGCGCTAGCAACGACTGTTGGGCTGCAATGCGAAGTCACGCAAGTACAAGCCTGAAGTACACGTGTGCATTGTTCTGCCTGACGAGCACAAGCGCTCGGATCCGCTGGCTCAAACAATCTGAAAAAGAGGCAAAAACTATCGACAACCCCTAAGTTCTGCCCTTGAGGTGGCGAATAGTGATGCGCTGTTGATTTCATGTGGGAACACAATTCCGAACAGCCTTGTACGAGCAATTCCGGCAATTCCTGCAGAGCAGAATCTTGTGGACGAGCCCCAATCCCAGAACCAATGTAATCAGAATTTATCAGGAATTCATACAACGCAAATCCATATCCAAAAAAGAGAGATCTAACAGCTTGATTTCTAAAAGGAGTTCATAACTATGAACCAAATTCCTTCCAACAACGGAAATCCAAGAACGCAAGGTTTACCCACTTTTCAAAGGGAATTCATACGAACTTTGGTTGTTTCGACAGATTTCGAGAAAGCCATCGCAAACAACTGCTCTACGGAACTCTGATTGCTTTTAACATTCTGAGGTTCCAAATATGCACGTTTGGTTTAGGGTGTTGAAAAGATACAGACATCGTCAGGCAAGAAGAAAACGACACAACTTACACGGATTTATGGGTGAATGGGGGCTTAGCAATGATACAGATATTGGATGTTTTGTTTCTTGAGCGGCTGCTGCAACCTGGGGTTTTGCGCAAGGCCTGCAAAGGTGCACCCGAAGCGGTGGTGGCCATCGTGACGGCGAGGGATTGGCGTAAGCGCACCGTGCTACACCTCGCGGCTGGTCAAGGGAACACTCTTTTGGCACAGCTTTTCCTAGAAGCTGTTGGCGAAAACGACCGAGCCTTCTTCGCAGCGGCATTGGACCAAGGAGGACATGTCATATCATTACATCATTACACTGGTATTACATATATTCTCATTCTTCCCACGTACGGCTATCCTATGCCATGACAGGATACACTGCCGAGGACCTAGCACGTCTCGCAGGCTTCGCTCGCACTGCTGACACCATCCAGTCTCTAGGCGGGCTTGCAGTGCCAGCTTAAGGGGAGTACGGACGGCTAAAAGAGCTAATTGATCGAGGTGGGCCGACCACAAGCGAGGCACCCAGCGATGCCACTATGCTTTTTCCTGGGGCAGGCAAGATGCTGATCCGAGATTCTTTAGACAAGTAGATTCAGATAGGTTACCAGTTAATAGTGCCTGCTCACGTCTGCTTACTGCCTACGCTTACAGCGCTTGCTGACTGCTTGGAAGAGGCCCTTCAGATCCGGATCTCTCCCATCCCAACTCAGGCGGTTGGGATGTGAGCGAGACAGGACAGGACTCTCACGAAAGTCCCACCAAAGTTTTGACGAGAATTCCAGGGCCTCATCAGAACATGACATGTTAGCTGCTCAGTTTCCCCAATCTCTTCATTCTGCAGCCGGCTAGGCCAGTAGGTGCCAAGCAACTCTTGTGAAGGCCAGTGGAGATTGTTTGTGTGAGTGCGATGCTCAAAGAGGCCCCAAGCTTGAAATGTGAGTAGCATTTGCTGCTGTCTCAGTACTACTTTGACCGCGGTGGAGGAGTGCCTGATGAATGGTTTGAGGAGACAATGTGCGAGATCGATGCAATCAACGTTGGGCAATTCGATTGGAATGTGTTTGAGAAGCATTACTTTGCGCCCCGAAGACCGTTGCTCATTCGAGGGGGTGTCAGAATGAGTGCGTCTGACAAGGCCAAGTTCACCCGCGCAGGGTTGATCAGCATTGCAGGGGCTCGTAAGGTGCGCGGGTACTCTACGCCGTATGAGAATGATTTCCGGGAGGTGGCTCCCGTCGAGATGTCTCTGGAAGACTATGTAGCTTTTCTAGACAGTCGCGTCGACAATCCGAGCAGCAACTTGAGCTATGTTTTCGAGCGACTGCCTAATGAAGAAGGACCTTTGAGCATGGCCCGTGCACCGCCCAAGCTCTTCAAGGAGCATATTGAACTGCGCTCCGCGCAGTTTACGCTGGGCGGCGCCCTCATGGGGAGTCCTCTACACCACCATGTGGATGCAGCCGGGCTCCTGGAAGATACTGCCCGCATCAAAAGTCTGAGAATCTGAGAACCTCAGGTGAACTCACTTCTCTTTGGAAAGAAGCTCTGGTTCCTCAAGCCGCCAGCTGAGCAGGAGTTCCGCAAGACAACGGTCTACCAGGAGCTTTTCGGCAAGAGCTCTAGACTCTAGCTCTCCACAGGTTCGACAATTCTGTGATCAGGATCTCCTGGCTTATGGTGGCGTCCCGGGCCTGCGGGTCCTGCAACGAGGTGGTGATCTGCTTTTCGTGCCGCAGGCCAGCCTTGCGCCAGCGTTTGTAAGTTGCGCGAGTCAGGTTTCAATCCTTGCGCCTTCCTTGCTTCTTCCCCTCTCTTTCTCTTGTGAGGACTGGGCCCACGGAGCCCTTTGCCTTTTGGATGAAGGAAGACGACTAAGCATTGAGAAGCCTTGCTCGAAGCTTGAAGTTCTCAGGCCTGAGCCAATGCGTTGGCCTGGCGCACGAGTTCGACGTGAAGCCTCCCTCGCTCGAGACGTTGCCCCTTTCGAAGGAGACGGTGAACGCCTCCCTTGGCGTGGCACTCGCGGGAGTCCTGGCCTTCTCCATTTTTATCATCTCTTGGATCATAGAGCGTGTCTGAGCTTTGCTGCACCGGCAAAAAATGGCTACTCTGTGAGAAACGAGACATAACGAGACGTTTCCCTGCATGACCCAGTCACATGCCTCGCTTGCCCTTTTGGCTCTGTGTGGGGGGAGGCTGATACTGAAACATGTCCATTAACCATGTGCTGTCGGGGTCACTGCCAGCACCTCTGCTGCTTGCCGGTTGCTTCCTGACAGCGAACTCGCTGACGCAGACTGCACAGCTGCGGGGGGAGAAGATCTTGGCATTGCCAGACTCGCCTTCTCCTGCATCCTCTCCAGCTCCGGGAGACGCACCCACGGAGCAAGATTTGAGAAGCTATTCAGGCAGCTCTGTTGCTGTAACTTCTGCTTTATTCACGTGCACTATCCACTAAGTCACTAAGCGCTTCTGTCAGGCGACTGGCTCTTCCATGTCCGCACCACATCCTGCCACGGTGACATCTTTGACAATGGAACCTACACCATTACTTCGCGCGTCTTCTTGCCACTGCTCTATGGCGTCTGTGTTGTCCTGATAGCTTCGACGCGGCACGTCCGGCAGTCTGCAGGGAAGCCGTGCGAAGCAGAGGGTAGCGAGGCCACTGCGGCTAACGAACGCGAGGAAGGGGAAGGGAAGCGGCTATGGCATGTGGATTTCGCCCGGATATGTGCAGTCATGTGTGTGATCTTTGAGCATTGCGGCCCCAGCCTTAGTCGTCCAGCGAGTTCCATCCTATGCTGAAGTTCGACAGGTCAGTTGCAACTAGCACCAACAACTGCTTGTAGCGAAAGCATCACTCTGTCCCTGAGCTGCAATCACAAGCAGGTCGGCCTTAAGCCAAGAATTTGGCATGGTTGCACTGACTGACAGACTGATGTGCTTATTCGCCGCCAGTCAGGCTACTGGAGAAATGGCACAAGGCCACTAAACAAAAACGGCCGACCGCTGCAACTAGGTCACTACATGTGATTAACAATCAACTGCCATGGTACTGGTAGCTGCTAACAAGGTCATGCCAGCATGCCAGCATTAGTGGCTATGGGCAAGAACGACTTGGTCCCCGGCTTTCCACCAGAGTTCACAGGAAAAACTGATTTCGTGAGAATCTTTGTGCCAGTCCTACGTATTTTGACTTGACATGTCCCTTCACCCAATGTAGACAGCTGGCGTCTGGAAATCACCAAAGTAACAAAGCAGCCTTCAAACATCGTAGTCTGGTTATCGAGTGAACGGTCTTGCGGTCTGGGTTAACGCAAGTAACGCATGGCACGTAGGGGGACAAGAGCGGAGATGTCTTGTACCATCCTGCATGATGTAGAAAGTACTGACAAGCTCAGGTGGGGAAACTTACACCCACCGCAACGTTGGCTTCGGCCTGTGGTGGGCCTTGCCGTATTTATACATCACAAGCGGCATGGCTTCTATGATTTCGAAATCCAGTTTTGGGGGTTACATCTTTCGGCTCTTCGCTGTTTTCGCGGCGGGCGTATCTGCTAACCTCTTCGCCGATGTGCTGAAGCATCGCGACTGGTTGCACGACTTCGGAAACACCATCTTTCAGATGTTCTTTGTTGTCATGCTCCTCATCATGGCTCCGCTTGCGGAGCCCTTGCGCCAGGCGCTACGATCGCGGCAGACAAATTGCAAAGCATCTGGTTTCACCATTGCATTTGCCATCTTCTGGGGAGCCGTATCCGCTGTGGGCCTTGCCTCTTTCGTTCGTGGCTACACGGGAGATTCCCCAGACATTGTCACACAAACTTTTGAAGGGGAAGAGGTGTCTCGCTGGATCAAGCTTTATGCCCCCATTTTGCGCCACACCCCGATCATTCTTGTGCATGTTGGCGGCACGCTTTTCTTGGGCCTCTTGTCGACAATTGTTTGCCACCCTGAAAACACTGGGCTTGTGGGCTGGGTGATGTTGTTATTCTCTTACTTGCAGATGGTCATAGTACCATGGGATCAAGACAGTTTTGCCCATTTGGTGAACCTGAACATTGTCGGAATGTTGACGTTTCATTGGCCACTTGCCGGCAGCGCTGAAATCGCGGCTGCAGTGAAAGCTTACTGGCCATTTCTCCTCATGTTCCTTTGCTTGGACTCAATGCCAGACATGTGGGGCCGTTGTGATGTTCATTCACCATATTCTACCTGGGACAGTCGGCCTGAATGAAGACACTTTTTCTGGTGTTCTTAATTAGTTCGCTTGCAATTGCCAATTTCTTTGTGGAACTCGGGTCTGGACGCCGCAAATCAGGAGAGGTTCCGCATGTTCCTCGGGGAGTTGATCTTGGTGGTCTGCTTCCTGGTAGGAGCATTTGCTCCGTCGGACCCCAAGAAAATCACTGCTTGGTTGGGACACTGGTCACTCTATGCCTACTGCTTCCACGTAATGTGGTATCGACTGCTGGGCAGCCCCTATGGAGTTGCTTGGCTCTACTTAGCCACCGTTTCTAGTCTTGCTGAAGTCCTCTCTTCCAGTGTGGTCATGAGTTGGCAGGCGATTGTTACGTTTGCCGGGATTCCCATCTTCTGGGCATGCTCACAGCGCACAGCGCCCGCAAGCTGAGGGAGCTTCAACAAATTGGCGCTTTCCGCAAGCAAAAAGTGCAGCAAAGTAGGAAGAAGCTCGTCGAATCATTGTAAATTGCGCAGCTTGACCCATGTGCAGCTTCTATAGATCGAGCATGTCGCGCTAGCTTTACAGCATGCTGGCGCCGCCGGCGCCCTGGGTTCCATTGCTGGTTCTCGGCGTCGCGACACAGCGGGTCGTCCCTGACTGGCGCCAAGTGGAAGGCGATGTAAATTGGCTTCTCACCGGCAACGCAAGGGCAACGCAAGGGAGCATACATGAAGTCAAGCAACACAGCTGAGGTTTGTCGGCTGTGGTCTGGGCAACTTTGACATACGCGGGGCGATTGCTGCGGGCCTTGAGCAGAACAAGGCCACTGTGGGCATCAGTCGGGGGAGAGAAATGGCTAGGTGGCTCTTAGCACATGCCGCACTTCGAGGTGCGCAAGCATGTGGCCTTCTGCTTGTCCCACTGCGGACCGCCTTCCTGCACTCTCAAAGCAGCGGAACTAAGGCAGCAATAATAATGGATGGCACTGATGGCACATGCCCCACCAACTCATGAGACTGCCGAATTCTTGCAGCTGCTGCCAAGGAGACCAACTGCGACTGCCTGAAGTGTACAATGTTTTGTCTTTCCAGAGGCTCCTACGTGGACTCCTGTCTAAATAACCACACGTACGACATGTGTACGGGCTTCATGAACGACATCTACGATCAAACAAATCGCTGCATCCTCGGCGCTGCCCGATGCTCCGATGTGATCCGATGTGAAGATTCTGGCCCGGTTGGCTGAGGTTCCTGCGACGTGAACTGCAACAGCACAGTTGCAGGGCTCCTCCGACCAGTGCTATTGATGCTTATCATGATGTGCTCGCTGCCATTATGGTGAGGCAAAGACACCCTGAGCAGACGGTTTCACCTGGTTATGTGGCGACTTTGGCCCGGCTCAAAGGGCTGGTTCAAGAGCAGCAAATTCCTAAAACAAGGTGCGAAATCATCAGTGAATCGCACATCCACTGAAGACTCTGAAGACTGATGGAAGGCCGGGTCGACTGGGCTCAATCAGGTCAAGGAAAGTGGGAAGAAACTGGTTTGGACTTCAGCATCTCAAGATGCTGTCGCCTAGTGCAGCCGGTAGCTCTGTCCGAATGGAGTCAGGTGCGCATTTCATTGTCTTCAGCTTAGCTTCTCAAATTCGAGAAGTAGGACTCCCCTGGGTCGAAAAGTATCGGCCTGATCGGATTGAAGAAGTTGCCCAGCAGGAGAGCCAAGTTGCTTCGTTTTGTTCGCTTTGTTGGCTCTGAGCTGGGAACTGCGCAGGAGGAAGTGGTATCGGCGCTGAAACACAGCCTTCAAACAGGCGTGGACGCACCCTCCGTGCTCAAACTTGTGTGGGAAGGCAGTGACTGACGGTAATTTAGCAGCTCATAACAACGCATCCCAAGCCTATCTCTGACTAAAGATTAGCGACTGTGAGATGCGATGCTCAACACGGTTCACGGAGCACAAGCTTGATTGCTGAAAGTGGCGAGCACGCAGAGATACGCTGAGGTGAGCTGCCGAACCTCATGCGCCGCCCTACAACACATCCCGTGACCTTCCGCGCCTCGATGCTCTTTGCCGTGAGGTTCTATGGGCCTCCAGGCACTGGAAAGACCACCGTGGCATCAACCTCAGCGCTGAAGTCTGACGTCAAAGCTGGGCGAAGCCCTGGAAAAAGGCCCTGGCCCTCATGAAGCAGTTCTTCGGACAAGACTGGCGGGCTCGTGTAAAGGCGCCAGCTCTGAGCTCTGAGCTGCGAACCTTTGACTTTTCTTCGAGCTCTAATGAACAGGAGCTCAATGCCTCCGACGAGCGAGGAATCACAGCGGTCCGGGAAAAGGTGACGTCTCCGTCAACTCATAAAGGTTTCACAAAGCTGCGCTTTTACGCTGCGCTAGTAAGCTGCTTGCGTAAGCGGAAAAGACCCGACTGTGAGGTGAAGACCTTTGCGCAGCTGGCCCTCGGCAGCTTGTCCAAAAAGAGCCTTCAAAAAAAGCTCACTGTGGCATTAATGGTTTCATGTGCAGGTGGAGAGAGCCACTCGGACACTAAGGCAAGGTTTCGGGCGCCTCCCTCAAACCTTAGATCTTGGCGTCTCTCGGGTCTCCCGTTCTTAGTCAAGACAAGGTTATCATCCTGGACGAAGCTGACTCCATGACGTAGCTTTGGCTTGACTTTCAACCGAACGCCTTGCAAGCATTGTATCTTCCTTCTGTCCGTACTAGGCACGACGCCCAGGCAGCCTTGCGAAGGATCATGGAGGATGCTTCTGAAATAATCTGAAACATGTGGAAATATTTGAAAAGAGATCTGGCTGACCTGGCCAGGAGTTTGTGCATGTCACGCGCTTCATCATCATTTGCAATTACGTGTCCAAGATCATCGAGTCAGGCGCTCAGTGGGATTTTGGGCAGGCAGAGATGCAGGCGGATGCATGAAGCCAAGGCCACTTCACTCTCGATGTTCCAAGTTCCGGTTCCAGCTTGTAGGCAGGAAGGATGCAAAGGGTCCTGGCGGGAGTGAGTTACATTTGTATTTTTTTTTGGGGGGCGGGGCGGGGGCCGGGGCAGGTGCGGAGTTTCAGAAAGCCCGGCTGCTCCACATCTGCGCGCAGGAGCCAAGTGGCAAGTGAAGCGGAGCAAGCCGGGGAAGACTTTCTCATCGCCCTTTTGAAAAATGAAGCGAAGAGTATGAAGTGCAACATGAGTCGAGAGGGCACGCGCGCCTCGAGTTCGCAAGCTGCGCTTGGCTGCTTGTGCTTGCTGCAGCAAGGAGAAGGTCGCTGTGAGCTCTGGCGCCCTGGAGCAGCTGATCTCCCTTTCCAAGGCTCAGCTCAGCTTCTCGCGGCTCTTGTGCTCTTGTGAAGTGCCCTGACTTTCAGACATACGCAGAACTTTGAGCATCTTACTCGTAAGATGTTTCGAAGTTCCCAGTTGCCAGGGCCTTCTCACCGTAACCTGTGCCAGGGGGATATGCGCTGCGCTGTGACAATGCTCCAGACGGCTGTCCAAGTGTATGACAAGGCGGGGGTGCGAAGCAAGTGCTTCGCAAAGTGCAGCGAAAAGCTCAGCGACTCGTTGTTCTTTGCAGGTTGACGAGGCCTCCCTGGTCGAGGCCGTGTGTTTGTTGCATTGGAAAGTGTGTTGTAGCATATTTTTTTGTCTGAGCGTGTCTGTGTGTCTGTGTGTGTAGTGGAGGTTTTCTGCGCGGTGCCCGAGTGGAAGACGAAAGAGCTCCTCGCCTTCGCTTCTCGAAAAACAGCAGAGACCGACCAGGCCCGGGCCGAAAGCGAATCACCGAACCGGGCTGTTCCCGAGCGGGCCTAAGCCAAAGCTGGCGGTTGGGTCACAGGAAAGTTAGGCGAGTCAGGAACCGCAGGTTCGAGTCGGGAGCCCGCAAGTGGCGAGTCAGGAACCCGCGAGGGACGAGGCGGGAACCCGCGGGGAGCGGAACGCGGTTCCGGTGGTGTCGGTCGCGTGCGTCGTGTCGGTCGTGTCGGTCGTGTCGGTCGTGTTGGTCGCGTTCGTTGTGTCGGTCGTGTCGGGCCCTTTAATTTGATGGCCTTGGGGGATGGACAAAGAAAACCGCAAAATGTTAAAAGCAATGCACCCATGTCTTGAGCTTCCATTGGAGATCTCGATCTCTAAGAGAGATGTTCGTCATATGTAAGCATTGCAGGGCGGGGCTCAGATGCAGCAGAAAAAGGGCGATGCCACTGTGAGCTTTCATGCTCACAGTGGTAGCGGAGCTCCTGGAAGTTAAATTCCGGGGGCGGTGCTGCCATTGCAAGAGCCGCGCATGCGCAAGGGAGGCTTGGTCACCCTCGCGGGCAGCAACCGCCTGTGAAATGGAGGATGGCCGCAGCATCACGCGACCATGCCCCTGTCGCCTCAACCACAAGGGGGTGGAAGCGGACCCTTGGGCAGCACAAGCGTCGGCAGTATCAAGATGCATTTCCTTGGTACGAGAATATGCAGTAGCAGCAGCAAGTGCCCTTTGCCCAGCCTGGGCAAGACTTTCCTGCCGCTGCGGGGCCACCACAGCCAATGAATCTAGCAAATAGGCAACACACAGTTCACCTGAGGCCTGCGTACGCTGGTCGGGCTGGCCCAGGGACCCCGCGGGTTTTTTGCCCTGTCCCTGGGTGCCCTTGTGCTGATCCTGCTCGGGCCCCTGGATGGCTCAATGTTGCGACTACGCACAGGCACGTGGCCATTCGCGCCAGCGATGTTCCAGATATGGCACGCATCCTACTTGCAGACCTGCTGCGCGTGCCGCACTGGGGCCTGCTGCCGACCCTCGCCCACGTGACCTGTTTTGTTGACATCCAGTGCGGCGCACCCGCGCCTTGCGTCACGTGCCAAAGCTTGGACCGAACTGCTTATGCTCCCTCAGTGTGTGCTGGGCGCCCCGCCACGGGGTGGTCGCAGGCACCGCCGTGCTGCTGCAGCCTACACAGTTGATCGCTTGCAACGCTGGGCCGAAGGTGAGCGACGTAGTCTTTGGGACGACCGTTTCAAGCAGCCAGCCCCAAAACACGGCCAGCTTGATGAGGAGCAGAGACGTGCTCTTGCTGTGTCCTTGGCCCGGGAGGGCTTTGACCGTAAAGCCTGCAACGCCCTTCTTGCTACCGGCCTCTCCTGACACCGTGTCTGCGCTGCGGGCTTTGCACCCTGTCCAGGCCATGCCACCTGTGGGCATTGATTCCCTCCCGTTGGTCTATGAGGTTCCCCCTGAAGTGGTTGCACGTGTTCTGCGGCAGTTCCCTGCTGACAGCGCTCCTGGGGCGTGTGGCCTCCGCGTGCAGCGCTTGCGTGAAGCTGGGCCTCCTGGGGCTGCCAACAACCTGCGTGAGCGCTTGGCCGGCTTGGTCAACCTGCTTGCGCAAGGACAGGCCTGTCCTGAGGTTGCAGGTCCAGTCTCATAAAGCTGCTCTCCGCCTGGCCAAAGAAAAAGGGTTACCAGACCCGCCACCCCTGCCTTCCAAGGTGGGGGAGACAAAAAAAGCGCGCATTTAAGTAGGCTTTCTTTGCAGGGTGTGGCAGTTCAGGCGGCGCGTCACGGCAAACCATCTGCGCTGAAAGCTGAACCCAAGCCCAATTAACATGTGTAATCTGTTGGCCGGTCTCTGTGGTCTTCGTGGTTTGGGGTTGAGCCTAGGGCTCTTTCGGAACCGTGGGTTCCATGTTAGGGCGCACGTACGGTTAGGGATTCTGCGGCGACCTTGTTTGCCTTTTGCGGGGCCTATGATCTTCTCGTGCTGTGGGTTTGAAATTTAGGCTGAGGGTGTTTTCGGCGCCTTGGATTCTCATCAACCATGTTTCTCATAAAGCCAAGTCCGCTTGTCTTGCAAAATGGTCATGCGCATGTCCATGCTTCTGAGGCACTGGCCTGCCTAGTCTGAGGCTGATGGGAACCAGTCTGAGTCCAGGAGAGATTCGGAGCTCAAGTCTTCCCAGAGGTCGTAGCGCTCAAACAAGAAGGCATCATCTAGCACCTTTTCCTCCTCAAATTCTTGCTCTAGAAACTTCGAGGCTGAGCTGCAGAACGCTAACTCCGCCAGCAAACGGCACGTGCGTGCTAGCTGGCAAAGCAGCCACCGTTTCAAAAAGAGCAATGGCAACAAGTTTGTCATTGAATCATTGGGCAAGACATAGAATCTCAGCGCTTTGGAATCAAAAGCCTTGGTGGCAAAGTTTCAGCGGCCCATGCTGCTCGAAAGCCATCTGCTCGGCTGGCAGCAGATGCAGCCCAGCTCCTCCGATCCGGGTCTCAGCCTCCACGAGGAAGGCGGCTGTCCACTTCTGGAGCAGAAACAGCTGCAGAGGCGGGAATTTTGCAGCTACAACTTGATGCTTCTCATTGTGCTGAGACAATTATACTTAGCACCTGCCTTCCTGAGCCCTGCTTTGCAGTCGACCTGCGATCCTTTGGGCTCAAACTTCCCTCCTGACCTTCAAGCCGTGAGCCCTACCTTTTTATTACTGCTACGAACCTTCAACTCTGAATTCCATATTCCTTGTTCCCCCGACCCCTCTCCCTTTTCTTGACCAGCCAAGGGTCAGGTCCATGAAAGATTCTGCGCAATACCAGGGGTTCTGCCACCATCTCGAAACCTGGGGGCTCTACCACCATCACACCTAATATCAGTGCTTATGATCATGAAAATCACCATCATCATCATCATCATCATCTCTTCTGCTATTTATCGGGGCCATGATATTCCGAAATTCAAGAGGTGAACTTGCAGGCCATCTGCCTCAGCCCACTGGTGGATATCGCGCCTGCAGTCAGAGCAAATCTGCTTCGCCTGCGCCCTTGACTGCCTTGGCTCGGATGAACAAGAGCCGAACTTGCCAAGTAGACTTCTGTTTTGAAAGGATGGCTTGCACTGTTCATGAGCTGGCTCCAGCGGTAGTTGGATCAGGATTCCTGATGCAACGACTGCTGAAGCCAGCTTCAATGTCTCTTCAACATTGATAAGCCGTTTGCCAAGCTGCGGGTCCAAAAATGGGGCATAGAATGTATGTGCGCAGCAACAGCACAGGTGGTCATCAGCCACCATGCTGAGAAAGTGCAGCGCCTGCACTCTTTTGGAGTTTTAGGCTTTGTGCATGTTGCTGATGCACCACGATAATCTTCCGTTCTCATGGCAGTGGTTTCTTCCTCTTGACAACATCGAGCAAAATCTGCTACTGCTTCCAATGCCATAAATCCAAAACAGGCTTGAACCGAAGGCTGCAGAGCTCTAACCCTAAGCCATGTTTGGTAGCTTTTAGGCAATAAGTGTAGACTCCAAATGGTTTGCTTCCTTTCGCTGTTGCTGCTTGTGTGTGTTCTATGGTTCCTTCTTGGACCCACTGCTTACCAAGCAATGGGTAAAAATGTCCCAAAGGACACACAGCCCAAGAGGTAAACAGGCAAATTTGATTCCTACTCATCCAAATCAAGCCATTTTTGTAACATTGAAGCAAGAATCTTCGACTCCAGGCCATCCCAACTTGAAACATTCAAATATGTATATATATATATGGTCACCCCCCCCCCCCTCCATGATCTACCTCCAGGTCTTTCCTTGATGTAAAAATGTTACAAAACACTGTAAATACGGATGACTTTGCTGTTTGGTGGATATCATATTTAACCCTTCAAACTACTGTGATTTTTTTATGGTTTACAAGGACTGAAACATTCATGAATTAATTAGGGAAGCTTCCAAATCTGAACATCTAGGAATTCCTTATTGTTTTTTGCTTTTGAGTAGAAATTTAATAAGAAATTTAGACAGCAAAGAGCAGACACACAATTTTCAGAAAAATCCAAAAATCCAAAAATCCAAAACTTTCAGGAGCATCTCTGGGATTTTTGGATTTTCAGCAAAATCCAAAAATCCAACAATCCAAAATCTTTTAGGAAAATCTTCGAAAGTTTTGGATTCTTGGATTGTTAGATTTCTATTGACTTTTTTGAAAAATCCAAAAAATATGGAAATATTTGGAATTTTCACATCTGGTAGTACAAAACTATTGCATTGCCTAAGTTTTTCTGGATTTTTCATAACAAGCAAAAAAAGCAATAGAACTCCAAAAATCCAAAAGTCCAAAACTTTCAAAGATTTTCCTAAAAGTTTTGGACCTTTGGATTTTTTAGGTTTTTGGATTTTTACGAAAATTGTGTACCTGGTCTCTGCTTTATAAATTCCTTACTGCATTTGATTAAAAAATAGTACCGAAATCCCGAATTTCTGGATTCATGTATTTGGGAGCTTTACCAGATCGTAAATTCCTTATTGAATTTAATCAAACACAATATCAGAATCCTACATTCCTAAATTTATGGATTTCGAAGGTTTACTAGATTATAAATTACTTCTGAACTTGAATTTAAAAACTAGCTGGAAAACACATGCATTTAGGAATCGTGGTTCTAGCTATTCATTTTATTTAAATTTAAGAGGCATATTATAAAGCAGAATGCAGATTTAAGATGCCACAATTTATGCATTTGTTCTTTGATGTTAAAGTTTAAGTGTACATGAATTATAGCATCTTTATTTTTAAGCCGTATGCATGTTCGTACTATATGAAGCTTAGTATATACTTTTAATCGTAGGATTACAAAACAATAGATTCAATACTAGCTTGTAAAGTATTATCTTATCATATTCTACATGGAGGAGGGAAAGGTTAATGCCTGCTTGTAATAGTAGTCACTGAGAACTAACTTGCACTCCTTTAACTGAGCTGCTATAAAGCCTTTTCCTTTTGAAAGCTTCAGAATACAGGAATCCAGGATTTTAGTATTGTTTTTAAATAACGTTAATAAGGAATGTATAAAGCAAAGAGCAGGCACACAATTTTCAGAAAAAAATCCAAAACACCAAAAATCCAAAACTTCAGGAAAATCTTTGGAATTTCCCAAAAGTTTTGGATTTTTGGATTTTTGGGAAATTGTATACCCGTTCTCTACTTCATAAATTCCTTCTTAAATTCAAGTAAAAATAATACCAAAATCCTGAAAATTCTTGGATTCCTGTATTTGGGAGCTTTCCCAGATCGTAAATTTCTTATTCAATTTAATTGACAACAATACCAAAATCCTATATTCCTAGATCCTGGATTTCGAAGCTTTGCTAGATTACTTATTGCTTATTGATTTCAATTAAAACGAATACCTGGAAAAACATGCATTTAGGAATCCTGGTTTTAGCCATTAATTTTAGTTGAATGTAATAAGTATATTGTAAAGCAGAATGCAGATTCGAAATGCCACAATTCATGCTTTCATTATTTGGTTACTAACTTAAAGTGTATATGAATACGAGTATTCATACTTTAAAGCCACATGCATGTTCGTACTATATGAACATTAGTATATAATTTTGATAGTAAGGTTTAGGAAAAATAAATTCAATATTCGCTTGTAAATTCTTATCTTATCGTATTCTAGATGGAGGAGGGAGAGTTTAATGCTTATAATACTAGTCATTGAGACCTAACTTGCACTCCTATAACTGAACTGTTAGAAAGCCTTTTGCTTTTGCGGTTGCAGT